ATGATGTGGGCAATTTTCATTCTTGAAAACATTCATGTATGTACTTTTGTGCTTATGGAAGGAGCCTGGTCCCTAAATCACCACAGGGTGAAAGGCTGCTCACTGACTAAGAATATTTATATCAGACTGTTTCATTGGTGAGAAATAAACTTTTCTTATGTTGAGCTGCTGAGATGTTAGGGTTTATGTGTTCCCATAACTAATGTGGACTGTTATAAAGGTATCAACAATTTAAGGCTTTGTTTGTATTTATGTTGACTGTGTGAAGTTCACCCTGTGTTAGGTAAATCAAGACTCTAGTGACACATCTAATTAATCACCTCAAGTTCTTCTTGTCAGAACTGTTTACATTCTTCTCTGACTCCTGGATTCCATTTCTCTGTGGCCTTTTATTCCACATCTTCAGGTCTGTTGGTCACTTGGGTTTAATTTCACAGTATAAGATAAAAATATGGACTAGACATTTAATTTGTAGTGTTAACTCCTTATATAAAGCTTTTAAATCTAAAGTTTATTTAGGAGTTATACAAAGAGTGAAAAGAGAACCTTTCAATGGCTAGGCTGAAACAGAGGTTGTCAACACTGCCTTTCCACATATAAGTCATCAAATTATATAGATCTGTCCTATACTGACAGTACATCAGTTTTGCATATACTTCCTGAAAATATGACTTTGAACTCTATGCTTTTCAAATTTAGTTTTAGAGAACTAATGATAACAGTCCATATATCTACTAGATTAGAGACTGGCAAACTTTTTCTGTAGTGGGTCATATGGTAAAAATTTTAGGCTTTGTGGGCCAAATGGTCACAACTACTCAATTCTGCTCAACTCTTGAAAGCAGCCATGGACAGTATGTGAACAAATGAGTGTGGCAGTGGTCCAAAAAAGTGTATTTCCAAAAATAGGTGACAAGCCTTAGTGTGTCAACACCTACGTATCCAAATTTTATATATGGATTAAGCCAAGTAATCAAAAAACTTGTACCAGAGACTATTTATTTCATCCCTTTGGAATCTGGTTTACTGAATTGTGCTTTGATAGTATGTAACTCAGCTTGCCAACGAGAGTGTCCACTGTTTCCATTGACATTCTCAAAGGACATCTGGTTAAGATGGCCAAATGGCTTATATTAGAGCTTTTCAAATTATGCTATGCTTAAGAGACAGTTTCTTTCTTTTTAAAATTTATAATCTAGGCAGACTGTCATTCAAAAATGTGATAAGAATGAATTAGTAGTAGAAAAATGAAATGCTGGATGTTGCAGCAGTGTTAGATTGCTATGTGAGTTTCTAAGTGATTACTCTCAGTTTCTCTATCTAGTCACAGAGCAGGAATTAAAAAATTGATTAAGATTTTGGTTAGAATTGGCATGGATGATATAGTAAAATGCATATAAATCTGCCATGGAAAATGGAAAGACAAGTCTCTTTTGGCCGTTTTCTATGAGTGGCATCAAGAAGTGTCTGGCTGTTGGTAGGTTGGGCTCAGAGCTCACCCCACAACCAGCCAGGCCAAAACCTGAGACCTTTTGAGAGATGTTTTGGCAATTGTGTGCACAACAGCCTAAATAACCCTCACCAGGTTGATGCTTTTAGTTAACTGGGAATATATTTTGCATTTTGTAAATCAGTATGCCTATTAGGGGCACCAAATTAACAAAAAGGTCAAGTATTCTAGAGGAATGATGTATTAGTCTGTCCTCACACTGCTAATAAAGACATACCTGAGACTAGATAATTTATAAAGAAAATGAGGTTTAATGGACTCATGATTCCATGTGGCTTGGAAGGCCTCACAATCAGGGCAGAAGGCAAGGGAGAAGCAAAGTCACATCTTACATGGTGGCAGGCAAGAGTGAGAGCATGTGCAAAAAACTGCCATTTATAAAACCATCAGATCTCATGAGACTTATTCACTATCATGAGAATAGCATGGGAAAGACCTTCCCTCACAATTCAATTACCTCCCACTGGGTGGGAATTATGGGAGCTACCATTTGAGATTTGGGTGGGGACACAGCCAAACTATATCAAATGGTTAGAGATTTTGGATCAAAACAATCTCTTCCTTGCTTCTGGCTCTGGTTCCACAGCTTTTTACCTAGTGCTTTGTTGTTCATTTTGGATTTGAAAATTCTTGAATCTTTTTTTTTTAGCTTTTTCTGAAGTTTTATCTCTAGTCTGGTTTGATGCAGTGTGATATGGGCAACAATATAATCTCAATCAGGACAGCAATACAAATCCATTATTTTGATTATTATAGCATAAACAAAAGGATTTCTGAATGTTTCTTATTAAAAACAAATAGAATTTCTTTAATTGACCAAACATAAAATCTACATTTTGGGCACTAATTAGACTTTCTTGAAAAGTCTATTATCCTTTCAAGCCACATTGAATTAAAATTCAGGAAAGCAAATAAAATGAACATGCTTATCATTCATCTTCTAGATTAATTCTGAGTTTTGTTTTTGGAGGTGTGGGTAGAATGAATGTTGAATATTCATACTCAACATGACTATTCTGGAAGCTGGGCTTGAAAGTTAAGGTGTGGTGCAGCTATGATAGATTTAGAGTGGGGAGCCAAAGAAGATTCAAGAGACCAAATCTGGGGGTTGGTTGGGGATTGGTAGAACTGGAAATGAGACTAAGCAAATAGTCCAAATGACAGAGAGATGAAGACTAGTTACAAGGCATGAGAATGAATGCCAGGTAGACTAGACCAAAATGGAACAAACAAGTTTGAAATGGAGGGTTGAAGACAAAGGCTGGACAGATTCCTTGAAACTCTGGAGTAAAGCTACAGAGTCTTTTTTGGAGCATCTATATTTGGCCTGGCTCATGTAAGGGCCAGCCACTGTGAAGGAAACTAAGCTAGACTAAATGCTTCATTTTAAAATTTAGAGCACTTAGCGCCGGGCACGGTGGCTCACGCCTATAATCCCAGCACTTTGGGAGGCCGAGGCGGGTGGATCACAAGGTCAAGAGATCGAGACCATCCTGGTCAAAATGGTGAAACCCTGTCTCTACTAAAAATACAAAAAATTAGCTGGGCATGGTGGTGCGTGCCTGTAATCCCAGCTACTCAGGAGGCTGAGGCAGAAGAATTGCCTGAACCCAGGAGGCGGAGGTTGCAGTGAGCCGAGATTGTGCCATTGCACTCCAGCCTGGGCAACAAGAGTGAAACTCCAACTCAAAAAAAATAAAAAAATAAAATTTAGAGCACTAGAAAACCCTAGATCTGTATGTACTGTTACTCTCACTGTGTGAATAAATGCCTTAAAGAGACTATGATTTGATATATAGTCTTGAATTTTTTTTAAACTCAAGGGTGAGTATGAAAATAGCCAAATGGAGAATATTTCTGCATGCTTATAAAACTTCTATTGAGCAATTACTATTCTTTTCAACAGTAAATTGCTTTTTGAGTTTGGAGTTGGGGAAAAAAGATCTATACTTCTTTAATAGTATAGTTCCTAGAAATAGGTATTAATAACACAAAAAGCAATTATCTCCTATTTCTGTTTTATAATCTAGAGCGCTCATGGGACAACTGTCTAGAGCCATTTTTTTTTTTTTGTTTTAGAGCTGTTTGATTTGTTAGAAAGGTCTTTTGGTTCATCTTTGTTGCAGTGGTTCAGGTACACTGCTTGGTGCAATGAGGAAAACACAGGTGAATAAAACATGGTCCCTGAACTCACAGAGTTGAGAGTCCATGGAAAAAAAATAACAATAGGCTACTCTATAGTGGAAGCTGTTAAATGTGGTGACACAGAAGTATACAACATGAACCAGGAAGGCTATAGACAGGAGGTCACATCTGAGCTAAACCTTAATGAACAATAGTTCATCAGATTAAGCTGGGGAAGAGAATATTCTTGATACAAAAATCTGCATGAGTAAAAGAAAGGTGATGTGAGAGTGTATGATAGGATAGGAAATGGATAATAGTCCAGTATGAGAAAATTTAAGGACTGTGAGGATCTGGGGGATGTGCCTGGAGATTTGTTGTAAAGATAAATTTGGTCCTGGTGGTAAACCCTTGGCTACCTTGACAAGACTAATTGAATGCTACCTCATTGGCCATTGATTCCCCAGGTGTTGCATGCAACCAGCCTTGGGAAGTTAGAGTTAGTAATAATTCTCTAAGCTGGTTTATAAATGGCCACATTTTCACTTGCTGAGTTACTGGCTCTTCTCTGTATGGCTGTTGACTGATGAGCTTGTGTCATATCATCTTCACAGGTTCACTGAAAACTAAAAATGAGATGAACTTAGTGAAAGTACTGTGGAAAGAGGCACATGGCTGGATATTTGAATCTTCTTAACCTTGAGTGCTGCTTCAGTCTCATCTGTTGTGTTCATATCATGACTCTAATCACTACGGGCAATTGAGAAAATGGTTATTTTCAAAACAAAATTGACTTGCCTCTTCATAGTTTAATATAGAAGCAGGTATAGTTTGGTTATGGTGAGATCTGGTAAGGACTCAGTTTAATATAGAAGCAGGTATAGTTTGGTTATGGTGAGATCTGGGAAGTTGGTCTTTGTGATAATACATACCTTTTGGTTTCAGAAAACATCGTATAATTATTTTCTATATGACTAATTTTCTAAGTACTTTTCACTCTTGATAATTTATTTTCATCCCCTAAAATTCTAGCAGAAACAATTCTTCCTATTTAAGATATCTTAGCAACTGGTACCCAATTTAGTCTAATGCATTCCCTTAGCCTCTACGAGAAATTAAAAATAATCTGTGGAGTACTGAGTATAGTCTAATAGCAGAAGGGTACCATAGCCCATTATTTCCAACCATTTGCATCAGTTTTAGCATGTCTGTTGATGGCATCCAGAGGTGAGGCCAAAGCTTGAAAAGCCTTGGAGCCTAAACTCTGGCTAAAACATGGTTTTTAAATAACACTCCAAAGTGCAAATACCAACAATGAATTTATACATCATAACAATGGGGGAAAGCAGAAAATGACTTCAGTAAGACAGAGTGATCTTTTCTTTTTTTTTTTTTTTTTTTTTTAAAAAAAAAATTTTTTTTTTTTTTTTTTTTTTTTTTTAATTTTATTTAAAAAAAAAAAAAAAAAAAAAAAAAAAAAAAAAAAAAAAAAAAAAAAAAAAAAAAAAAAAAAAAAAAAAAAAGAAAAGAAAAGAAAAAAGAAAAGAAAAACTGATAATAATTTTATTATCTTATAGAGAAGATAGAAATTCAAAATTAATTTCACTAGACTGAATTCAATGTTGATAAATCTAGTTTCTTCTGGAGGCTATGAGAGGAGAATCAATTTCCTTGTCTTTTTCAGGAAAATAAAATGTGGGTACGTATATTTTTGTCTCTGATCCCTTTCTCAGTACTCAATGTGCTTCACTTCAGCCTCTTGCTTCTGTAACCACCTTGATTTCTCCTAACTGACTGCTCTTGTGTTGTTGTTATAACGATAATTGCAATTACATCAGGGCAAACTGTGTAATCAAGGAAAATGTTCCTATTAAAAATCCGTACCTTAATTATTATTTGCAATGTAGTCCCTTTCGTAAGATGAGATAATATTAATAGGTTCTGAGAATTATATTGCAGACATATTTGAGGCTATATCGAGAATACATTTGTGAATGTATAGGCTATTATTTAGTCTATAGCACATGTCTTGGTAATCTGGGTGCAATGATCTTATACTAGAGTTATACTTGGAAGAGCAATTTCTATTTATTATATTATATAATGTATTGCTAATATAAGTTGCTATTCCAACTGCAACTCTAGTATAAAAAACTAGTATATTTCAGTAAATTATATATATGCAAATTTTCACAAATACAAATCACTTTGGATTATCTTAAATTATTTTATGTTTTTCTATATACATTATTTTTTCTCACTGGTTTGGCTATTTGTATCCTAGTCTTACTGAAATATCTTGTATTTCTATAAGAGTAGTACTGTATTTGTTTATGAATCCCGGCTTACAGCATCAGCTTCATAGTAATCTCCTAATAACTCTTGTCTAAGAGGTGATAAAAAACTTTAAAGAAATATTTTTTTAAAAATTTAAATTTGAATCATGGGACTTTTGCTATACCAAATTTTTGACACCAACATTGCTCTTCAAACATGCTTAACTTTTGTAAGTGTTTTTTAAGAGGGATGTATATATTTCAGATTACTTGATATTGATTTTAATAGAGGAAAATATTAAATACTAGATGCAGATAAATGCCTTGATTACGAAGGCAAAGAGAAATATTATTAAGAATAACTTAACAACAGGAATTCATTCCGCATCCTGCAGAGCTGACATATTAAAAATACTTAAAAATGAAATACCATAGTACAATAAATCATTAAAAATTAGCACCATGATTAAGGAAAATGAAAGTCACTATAACAAGTGAACAAAATACTATATAAAATGAAGAGAGACCTGTTCTTACATACAGCTTTTACAGAAGGACACCATTAAAATGGCAAATCATTTTATTGCACATAGGTTTGTAATATAAGGAAAAGGTAAAAATAATGGTTAGTAAATTATATATAAAAACAAACTACTATTCTGAAACTCTTTTCAGTATCTTGGCAATATATTCATTACAGATTATTTAAATCACCAAGCTCTTTAATCTCATTCCTTATATTTAAATATCATGTTCAATGAAATACCCAGAGTAGTGTTGTCAGTTGAGAATCAAGTTCAGGAATAACCACAAGGAAACGTCTGCTGCTATTAGCCATAGCAGCGACTCCACAAACTATACATTCTTTTAAGGGAGTATAGTTTAAGGTTGTGTCACTTAAGACTGCAGAAGCAAAGTAAAAATGAATCCCTAAATTTGCAAACCGTGCCCTTGAGTTAAGAAAGAGAAGAAGGAGGGAGAAGAGGAGAGAGACGAGAGGAAGGATGAAGAGTAGAGGAAGTAGAAGAAAAAGATGAAGACAAAGAGAAGGAAGAGGAAAAAGAGAGAATGAGGGAGAGAGGAAAAGAAAGAGGAGAAGAATGAATTTATAAAGGTTTTGGCTTGAAGGGATATCCCCTCCTTGGTCAGAAGGTGTATAATCATGTCTAAGTTAGAGTCAACCCTACATTTAATGTTTGGTTAGAATTTCCTTCTTCTGTGGCAGTAATTTTTGTAAGAGTACTAAATCCTAAATGTGTTTTTAATTAGTACTTTGCTTCTTTCTCTGAAAACAGACTTGGCTTCATAAAAACTCAGAAAGTTGTTGGCATACGTGTATTTTCACGTGTTGGGAAATGTGATGGTAATAAGATGTTCTGAGTTTACCCTTTCTTCTATAACTTCTCTCAAATCAGGTCAGATACTTGTGTAATATTTTCAGGCTAACCTATTCTTTTCCTATTCTTCTTCTTCCACAATTCCTGCCAAATTAGTCTAGAATGAAAAGTGGAAGATACTTTTGGGTAGTTTCTCAATTAAGGCATTAAAAACATAAATCTCACCTACAGTTTTAAAGAGAAAAATATTAAAAATCAAAAGAAGTATAAAATTATACAAAAATTTTAAAGTTTTAACAATTTTTACTAATATTCCGAACTATATTTAAATTAGATTACCCTTTGTAGTTGGTTGACATAATTATAAGGACTTTTTAAAGTCTTCTTTTTTATATAATGATCTTCATTCATTATTTTAAAAGGGTTTATTTTTAATAATAAAATAAATACTTGGATATACTCTTTCAGGGAAGTACAGTTGGAATTCTTGCATTAGAATTCCAGTCAAACCATTGAGAAATTATGTAACCCTGTACTATTTACTTAACTCTCTAAGCTAAAAAATATTCCTTCTGTATAGTAAATATAATTATGACTTCACAATGTTATTATGCAGATTATATGAGATAGCTATATAATTTTCTTGTTGCTTAGTATAATGTTGATTAATTTTAAATATGTATTATCAGGGGAATTTAAAAGTATGCCATTTGATTAGCTTTTAAGCCTTTAAAATCAATTGAAACTACCTCTACCTCTTTCAATTAAACAAACCCAGGAAGCATAGAAAGTGATTAATTCAATAAACATATATTGTAAAAAAAGCTTCATTCACCTGACATTCCGAGTAGATATATATAATGAAAATTTAATGTATGCAAATATAACAATAGTTATTGTATTATTGACTAATTTTTTCTGAACCATTTAAAAAGTCTGCATGTATTCTATCATTGCAGTATTATAAAAAGAAAACTGTAAGTGTATAACAATATGTAACTCTCTTTCTTATGTAAAGTAGGAAATAATTTTATTAGGTAATTTATTAATTTATTTCAGCTTATTAGGTAACAGTAATGAAATAAAAGATGTGTTCAGAAAACAAAAACTAGAAAATTACCCTGTCATTTTCCTCTGATTCTGATTGAACTGAAATATGAAGCAAGTATTTGGATCTACTGAGCAGTTATTTTTTACCATCTTTCAACAAAATGTATATAGAAAAGTAAATTCCCTAGTTCTGGTGATAAGTGCACCCCTTCACTATATTAAATAAGATACTGTAAAAGAAAGACATTTGCATCAGAGAAATGACTAAGCCAAACAGAAAAAAAAACATATTCTTTATATGTCATCACAGTTGATAAACTTAAATTCAGGCAAAACTAAACAACTGAAAAAATGTAAATTTATTAAATGTCTTTAGGCATTAATCACCTGAGTTAAAATGTCAATGTCTTAGAATGAGTCAAAAGAAACAGACATCTAGTGGTTTCTGGTAGTTGTCCAGTGGAATACCACCAATTTCAATTTTCCCTCTTCTCACTCATAGGCGGGTGTTGAACGATGAGAGCACACGGACAAAGGGAGGGGAGCACTACACACTGGGGTCAGTTGGGGGGAAATAGGGGAGGGACGGTGGGGGGTGGGGAGCTGGGGGGGGATAGCAGGGGGAGAAATGCCAGATGTAGGTGATGAGGAGGAAGGCAGCAAATCACACTGCCATGTGTGTTCCTATGCAACAATTTTGCATGTTCTTCACATATACCCCAAAACCTAAAATACAATAAAATAAATAAATGGGAAAAAAAAATAAAATAAAATAAAATGAGGATTATCAGAGTGATCTTTTGAGACACAGCCTATATAATTCCTAAAAAGCCCTGATAGTGTCATCTCCAGAAACCTCTCTGCTACAGGAAACTGCCTTTCTTGATTTCACCTCGTTGCCTCTAGTTCCACGTTAGTTCAGGTAAACAGGCCTCCTTTTCACTGTGACTCTTCCTTAGAGAACAAAAATATTGCTTTATTTTTTCTTGGGCCCTGTAGTATACTGGTTTGGGGTAAATCTAATATGTCTATTTTCCAAAGATCATCTTGGTTTCTCTGTATTTCTAGATGCACTTGATCGTAATCACAAAAGAACAGACAGTGATGCACTGTGTTGGCTCTGAAGAAAAACATTGACCAGACAGAAAGTCTTCCCCACAGCTGAACTGAGCTGTAATGACTGTGCTTTTCATTTCTCCCAGGAAATAGTAATATAGTTGGTCACTGTATTACAGTAAACAGTTTGTTCATTCTTTGGTAGAAAATGTTTGTTTGGGAAATACATCTCACATAATATGCTGGCTTCATGATAAAGATTGGCAATAGATTTGTTTCTAAATAAATCTCAATAAATACATCTGTAAAATGAACACAGTAGGAGGAATAAACAATGCAATTAAGAATATCTTAAGTACATTTACATATGATAATTTGCAAGTGATCATTACATTAAGACACATATGCCTGGGCTGATTTTCTCAAGGGCATTTGTGTGAAAAATGAACATTTCTGAATTAGAATTTTTGTCATGGAATAGAAACGAGGTAAGAACATGTTTTCGAATATGCAGTAAAAAGATCACCCGCTCCTCTGAAGACCTGACACTGACATTCATCTTAGTACATAAAAGAGAAAATATGCTGAGGATGGGCAACGTAGGAGCAGGAGGTATAACAACAGCTGCAGAGGTGACTGTAATTCTAATGGGTTGCTTGTAGTAACATCGGCATGCTGCTGAATTTGGCAGGAAAGTAATGCACAGAATTAAGACAGCAGCGTTAGTGTTGTGTTCTCTTATTAGAAAACCTTAACAGCTCATTGAATGCAGGCAAATTTTAGGGACTCTATTTTGCAAGAGGCCAATGTAGTAGCTGCAAAAGTAATATCACCAAAACGGAATGCACTAGGGAATGTAAGCAGCACAGGTTGGTACATTAGTTTGAATTATTCAGCCGGTCCTGAAAAGGGTAATATCCCATTTGAATGACAGGCAAAGGAATTCAGAAGGATAAGAGTCATTTTCTTCATTGTTGTTATTGTTGTAGTTGTTTGTTTGTCATATTTTTATTAGCTATATTAAGCTAAGGAAGCTTTTTAAAACATTTTGAATATCCTTTTATACCATTGTGAATCTGAACCCTTTCATTCATAAATTTTAAAAGATATATTCTGCATGTTGAGCAACCTGTTCAAAGCAGAGAAAAGTAACTTGTCCTTTAACTGGTAAGCCCATTGTAAGGCATGCTTGCACATTAAGTTGGAAAAAATATTTAAACTGCACTTGATAAAATTGCAAGAACTTATATTTAAATTTAATTCTCTCTGCAAGTACAGTTAGCATTATTTTTTCCCCCCACTGGTCTCTAACATACTATTTTTGAGGGAGAAAAAAATGTTTTTGCTACCATGGCAACAGTATCCTTCTCTTGCTTTCCATCACAAACTATAGTTTCTGAGCATAACTAGGAAAATTGAAATGTGGGTAGCTCAGAATGATAAGACCAAGCATGGTAAGCATTCATCTGAATGAATATTTGTGTCATTGTCCTTGCACTCGTGGTAAGACTAGAACTTTCAAGGTCAACATATTTGTTCTGGTGTTCACAGCAGCAGTCATAAAAGATTATATTGCCACTTACTGGGCAACTACTCTTTTCACTAAATGTCTTATTAGCATGATTTTCCAAAGACGATAGGAAATTAAAACACTCCATAGTACAGTTTATTTTATGGTTTTGAGGAAATGTAATACAAAGAAAGGGCACATATTCTAGTGAATTTTGGAAAAGAAATAATCTACTACTTGACCTGGAGTGTGTGCTGGGGGTGGGTGGTAACAGCCATGGCTTATAGAGAAACTGATTGAACTCGTTTGGTTATTTGTTTCAGGAGTGACTCTGGGATGGTGCTACTCTTGGTGATGCTCTTGTGATAACAATATTCTTTTTATTTTCCTTGATCTTTCACAGCCTGTGGATATTTCAGCTTGCAAGGTAAAAATAATGTTTCTGCTCCAAGGCCAGTTTTTAAAATCCTCCCTGGCTCTGCTGTGTTACTAGATTAAAAACAACACCACCACCACAGCCTTTGTTTCCCATTGGTTCTGCTTCACATTTCGTCTGTGTTCAGTTTTTCCTTAATCTCTGCCCACACTGACTCTGATCCTTGAACCCTTTTGCCTAACCTTATTTGGATAGGCCACCAGATTTCAAACTGGCCATCCAATGCCGTCTTGGCACTTCCCTCAGGGAATTGCACTGTGATGCCACATACCACACCTACTAGATATGATCTTGGGGATACTACCATGGCTTGTTTAGACCTTAAGGATATCACCCTGCTGAGATCTCTGGGTTCAATGCATCCATGCAGGATCATAGAAAAATGTCCTGTGGCTCAAAGACTGTCCAAGGCCTTACAGCAGATTTGCTTTCTTAAGTAGATGGCTATATATTTTTCTGCCTTGTCAAGAACACATCTTAATACATTTGGCAAATTCAAGACTACTTCACAGACAGAACTGATGAACCAGGAGTAAACTGGAGTTTACTCTCTTGCCCTTCACTGTACTCTGGTTTCAAATAATCATTCAATTCCTCCTTCATATGATTACATGTCCAGGAAGGTTGTTTGTTCTTAACTCTTGAATTGATCCTCTGTGTCAGAAATAAAGGGGTGCAGAATGCTGGTTGGAGAGTTAAGGTCATATGGCAGCAGGAATTGGCTCTTTACATTGCTGCTTTAATGGGCCTAATTAGATCCTTAGGAAAGGCTTTGCAGTGCCAAACACCCT